CCGATTTTCGAGATGAGATCATGTGAGAGGGTGGCCAAGAGGAATCTCTCAGAGAAATCTCACAAATCGAAAGATCGACATTTATTTTGATTTCTTTTCCGTCAATCAAATGATTAATGTGAAAGTATTAAGCAAAAAGTCCCTTGCATAAGATTCTTTCTTCGATAACCTTGATATTAAAGCCTCAATCCTTTTAAATGTAAGCATACTGTGCGGGAAAAGAGATTGAGACCCTAGACTCTCTAGAGATTGAAAAAGACCCTAGACTGCCCCAGTCCCTTAAAACTGAATGTCAATAGGAATCCAACTATACACAAAGTGAACAAGTGGGACTAAAAACGATTCTGTGGGTCCAGGGCAGCCCTTGTTATAATGGGCGAATAGGTGCGTAAAAAAAAGATCGCATTTGTCCCACTCCCTAAGTCGCAAACTCAATCAATTTCAATCTCTAGATAGAAGATCTTGACTTACAATCTCTAGATAGAAGATCTTTACTTTCAATCTCACAATCAAATTCTTATTCATATCCACTAGTGGCTATACATTTTTACCTAAAACTAAGCACTCAAATTAATTTATTAAAAAAGTTAATCAAAAAAAAAAGCTTGGCATCTAGAATTTAGCTGTATTCAAAGGCCTAAATATTCAAAAATTCAATGAGATCTTCATTGGCTTTGTGTTTCTTTTCTCAAAGCTAAATTTTTAAACAAAAACAAATAGATAATGATCAGATGGGGATTTCTGTGATCAGAACGTTTCATTGAGTGGAATGTGTGTCTTTAAATGTCAACACTTCAACGGGAAAAGAAAAGAAACGAAATTCTTCTCATACGAAATTCTTTCATTTTTCATTTCTCATTTCAATACTTTGACAGTTTTCAAGCGGATTTATTTATTCAATCTCAAATGTTTTTTTTTATTTTTCTTAAGCTTCATAGATCATAAATCTAAATGAAACCAAAGAAATTCTTTGATTTAAAACGAAAAACTCTTATCATTGATCAAGCAAAGAATATTTAGTTATAAATTGACTATGTTAATTATCTTTAAACTCTTTTGAACACTTTTTGAACTCACTTTAAAGTATTTAAACACTAAAATGCTTCCTTTTTTTGCGTCCCTTTCGTGACCTGAATCATTTAAGCAGTTTCTGCAATTGTTTTTGTATGTAGAAATGTTTTCTCGATATTAAAAACTGTGAAAATCATCTATCTTTGGCTAAGAAATTGGCGAGTTTCGGTTAGATTTCGATTTGTGATAAATGAAATTCAAGATAATCTAGTTTAAGAGTCAAAGATAGATTTTCAAATACCGTATTTTCTCTAATAGTAGTGCACCCAAGGCTTTGCCTAAATTTCTCGAAAATCTCGAAAAGCGCTTATCAGAACCTATCGATGTGGGGTCGGAAAATGTAGCTGACGATGAGATCTTGTGGGGGATTTGAGTGTTGGACTTCTGGGGAAAACTTGGAAACCGTAAAATAGTGATCAACTCGGCTCAGCGAACTGCACTACTAGGGAAAATACGGTAAATTTCAATAACCTCGTCTGCAAGTTACGGTTGAAACCACAGATTTACTGTAGCATCTAGAAAAGTTACGGTTTATCGAATCGAATCGAGTGATGATTTAAAGTACCGTATTTTCTCTAATAGTAGTGCACCCTGAGCGTTGCCTAAATTCCTCGAAATCTCGAGAACCGCTTATCAGAACCTATCGATGTGGGGTCGGAAAATGTAGCTGACGATGAGATCTTGTGGGGGATTTGAGTGTTGAGCTTCTGTGAAAACTTTGAAAGCCGTAAAATGGTCACCAACTCGGCTCGCCGGGGTGCACTACTATTAGAGAAAATACGGTATGTCTATCGCATAATAAGTCACCTAGCTTTTAAGCAGATAGGCTTTGTAAAGATTTCTAGCTATTCAAAAAGGACTCAATGTTTAGCGAAAGACGAAATCAAGATAGTTTTTTGGACGTTGATACCAAAATGAAGTTCAATTTCAAAGTCCTTTTTTTCCGCTAGTAAGACTAATAAATAAATGAACGTTAAACAAGAGCTTCATTTAAGGCTTTGATTAAATAGTACTGATTACTTTGATTAAATTGATGTCTATCCTATTATTGTCCTAATGTCTATCCTATTGTCTATCCTATTAGAAGTATTCAAATCGGAACAAGTCTTGAACTTTGGATCCCTTTGGTTTATGGAACGAGGAACTTTGAAGGAAGAAAGAAAGGAAAAAAAACTCAAATCCCAACTCCATTTTACTTTTCTCATTGACCGGCTTCTTTTTGCGCACTTTTTTTGTCTGAAATGTTCGAGTCGAGCGAGTAATAGCATGCATTTTTGATTTGAAAACAGGGTAAAGTTTTCTTTCTTTTCCACTAAACTTAAACGTTTTTTTAAAACAGCATAGAACAGGGAAAAGTTCTAAAATTTAAAAATTAAGCTAAAAATCTCTAAAGCAGCCTTTTCCCAACATCGAATTTCTATTCTGTATTCTGTAGTCTATTCTGTAATCTACTTTGTAGTCTGTAGTCTATTCTGTATTCTGTAGTCCAGTCTGTAGTCCAGTCTGTAGTCCAGTCTGTATTCTGTAGTCTGTAGTCTATTCTTTAGCATGCTACAATTGACGATTAATTCAAACGATCAATTCGAATTCAAATTCTCTTTCATTTCAAAGTTCATTTCTGTGTTTTTCGAGCTACAAACATTTCAGACTTGATGTGTAATTTGAGAGATCTGGTGAAGAGAAAGAGGCAAAATGGGAAGATGAAACGGGAGAGGAAAAGACTCCCAAATTGGCACCCACCTGTCTCTTCCCTCTTTTACCTTACCTTTAACCTCTTCTTGTCTTTTACCTCTCCTTGTCTTTCACCTCTCCTTGTCTTTTTGTCTTTATTCAAATAAAGACAAAAAGTGAACACGTCAGATGGTGAAGAAAGGAAATTAGTCCCTCAAATGTTTGGCTTTGCATTCAAAAAGATTTCGAGATCAAGATTCGGATTTTCTGAAATGTCGTTGATCTATTTTGAGACATTCAGTATCCCGAGCTCAGTCAATTCTTGCTTATTCTTGCTTATTCTTGCTTATTCTTGCTTTGACTTTGCTAGAATTTCCCCAGTCACATTACACTCAATTCATTTGCTTTTATTTTTTCGTTGAAATCAAATCACTTGAAATTTTGGCTTCCGTTTTACTCGGCTTCCGTTAAAGCGCATTTTCGTGATTTCCAAAAAGTGGAATTCTCCGAAAGAATTCTTTTCGGTTTATTTAGAAGTAAAGAAAAAAGAAAAAGAAAAAGAAAAGGGTACTTTCAAAGGGATTAATGAGAAATGGAAAGAATTGAGAAAAGGAAAATGGAGGGGAGATCGGGAGGGGAAGATATGGGATGGGGAGGTGCGTGGAGGAAACGACAAATCTTTTCTAAATGGCTTTCATTTTGAAATAAAACAATGAGATTGTGAAGGGTTCTTGTAAAATTTGAATTAGAATCGGGAAGAGAATATTTTCTGGAGAAGACACTTTCTGTATACTATTTCTTTTTAAATGCTCTTGCGCATATGTAGATTTGTGATTACCAGTGTCATGGTACCAGTGTCAGATCTAGGATCAAGAATCAGTACTGACTTAGGACCATTTCTAGATCAAACCAAGCCACGAGTAAGCCATGACTTCTAGGCCTGGCTTACCCTCTAGAATCTCTAGAATATTTATTCTTTTTAGATCTTCAAGTATGAGACTTTAATTAGTTCATCGGTGATACTCTAATCAGAATAAATATTCTAGTTTTTTGCCTGCCTTTTGTCCTGGACTGGACTAATCACTTGTAAGCTTTTATGTACCAGTTCATTGATCCAGTAATTGTCGAAAGAACACAGCTCATTTATTTCTTGTTTATTATGTTTAACTTGGCAACCCCTTACGTTTCCATGTTCCCGATTCTGACCAAAAATTAAATCGATTTCAAGAATCCCCTTGAAATCCCAAAAACAACCAAGATGCCAGAGACTCTTAAAGAAATTTAGAAAAGAAATTTTTTTCTTCTCACACTCTAGAGTCATTTGAATGAAATGGAGAAGGGGAAAACGGTTGAATTATTGAATTGAGAGGGTGGGGTAAGTGGGGAAGAAAAGGGAAGGGAGAGGATCGGTCCCTGGGGGGCCCATGGGAGAAGATCGGTGAGAAAAGTGAAACCCGTCCCCTTACCGCCGTACCTGAAAGACTTTAGAAATTCACTGAGTAAACGTGGAAATTTTCTTTCCCCCACTTCACTAGACGAGACTTTTGTCTGTGTTGAAGTGTTTTGTTCAGAGCTTTTGTCTGTTGACATCAGCCTGATGGCTTATTACCATCAGCTTATCACCAAAAGCTTATCACCATAGATATTTTCTAACTAAATCAATAAGATTTCCAGCGGTTGCCAATGTTCTCCAATTGTTGACTGAAGCTCTTACTATTTTTATCAGAAAGTTCAGATATTCAGTCAATGAGTGACTCATTGGGACGTTCAGATATTCAGTTAATGAATCTTGATTTAGAAAGAAGTTGAGCTTAAAGCAACAAGATTTTGAGTAGTCAAGCCAGTAGTTCTTTTCTTAAATCTAACGAATGAACTAGAGTTTTTAAATCTTTCGAACTATGAATTTCATAAAAACAAACGAGTTCCTATTCCTTCAGGCTATCAAATCTCATCCACTAAAGTTTCTAAATCCTTAATCCTAAAACAAAAATCACACCCATATTTCCGCAAAGCAGTCTGTCAGATTTTCGACCTCTCCAGTTCAAAGTTGGATGCATTTCCTCAAAAAGCTCTTTGTTTTCAAATCCTACAATCTCTTTGTTCCCAACTTTGCAGGGATTTTCCTTTTGTTCTTTGTTGATGTCACTGAATCATTGATTAGAGTGTCACTTCCCTTTTCTCAGACAGTGTTCAAAGCAAATTCTCTTTTTTTATTCTCCTTTTCAGTGTCACCATCGATTCCAATGCGATGATCGGGAATGGCGCGAGTTGTTCGATCGCTTCTCATAGCTTTCCTTATTTGCTGGTTGAACAACAACAGCTACCTGGCACAAGCACAGGTGATTCTTAGATTCTTGAATTTAATTTATTAGCAAACCAATCGGTTTCTCAGTTGGAAACATATGAGATCAAAGAATTATAAATTGTGTAAAGCATTAGGCTTTTATTAAGTTTTAAAATGTCAAAGTTGATCGTCTCCGAGCGCCCCAGCCCGGCCATCGGAGTATCATCGGCTACGACAACTACACTTCTGCCTCAGTAAATGTGGAAGCGGGTTGTGATCTGCGCTAAGTGCGAAGACAGATCAAATCATTATTTTATTTTTAAAGTTGATCGTTCTTGTCAAGGCTGAGATTTCTAGTTGGAATTGGATCATATAAAATGGCTTTCGTTTAATTCGAAAGATTTAAGAAGATATAGAAACAAAATTGTATTTTAATTGTAAAATTGTAATTGTAAAAACTTGCGAGTACAAATAACATCAAATACATTTACATCTACATCAGCTACTAATGTTAAGAATTTGAAAAATCCAATTTGAAAGACAAAACGGCTAGATCAAATTACAGAAAATTATCGATTTTTCTCTTTGTATAACTCCGTCCGTTTGTTTCCACAAGCTCTGATATGTCAAAATTTCGATTCTACGCCCTAAAATTACCTAGAAAAACAACATTTGGAATAGAAATTGGTTAATATTAGCTTTTTAGAGCTTTTTTAAAACGCGAAAAAAGATGCGCTAATGGGCAAGGTGCGCAAAAAAAAGGTCGCATTTGTCCCACTCCCCCAAATAACATCAAATACATTTACATCTATTCAGCTACTAATGTTTAGAATTTGAAAAATCCGAATTTTAAGACTAGCAAGCAAGGTGTATGGATTCCTAAAATTGTTCACTTAAACGAATCCTTGGAATCCTTGGAATTCTTGCAATCCCTGCAATCCTTGCAATTTATTAGCAAACCAATCGGTTTCTCATTTGGAAACATATTAGATCAAAGAATTACAAATTTTTTAAAGCATTAGGCTTTTGTGAAGTTTTAAAATGCCAAAGTTGATCGTTCAAGATTGAAATTTCTAGTTGGAATTGGATTATATGGATCAAAAATGGCTTTCGTTAAATTCGAATAGTATTTTAATCAAAGGAAACCTTATCTTCAGGATCGGACAGCCGAATTTCGAAACAATTTGATTGCCGAACATTCACGGAAAACATTTCAAGACACAAATTCAGAAGAGACAGTTCAAACGATACTCGATTCGATCCATTCGGTAAAGATCATTTTAAATTGTTATAAAAATACGTATTCTAAATGGTAAATAGTTGTTGATAATTGAATTGTAATAAGCATTTTGAAATGTTTCTTTTGCAGGCTTCTTCCACTCAAACGATTCGTCCCACTCCGATCTCCGATGTGCTTCACGGTTTTACTCACGAATTCGTCGAAAGTTCTCGCGAACATTTAGAGAAAGAGTAAAGAGAAAGTTGATTCCTTTTTCAGAAAAAAACATTTTCCAGAACCGACGCGAACATTTTCAAAAAGCTTTGGTACGATCCAGCCTTTAGAGTTCACTCGCTATGCGAGCCACACAACTCCGGCAATCAAAACGAACAACTTGTTTGGTGAGTTGGGGACGTTTAAATCGTTTAAATACTAGCAAAAATTCAGGACCGAGTCCGGTGATCGCTTATTGAAAATCATTGGTAACGGAGTGGTTGCCGGTGGTTACAATATGATGATGGCACCGAATCAAGCGCTAGGTTTACTGGGTTTTTTAGAATTCTTATGCAAATTTTTGACAACACTTTACTCTAATTATACTTTAATATAATAAAATTTAATCCAAAAAACCTGAAACATTTCAGGTAAACGAACCGAGGTTTACGTGGCGATGTACATCGAATCGATGTCCTCATTTAAAGCACAAACTATGGTAAAGAAAATGAAAATATTCAGAAAAGATAAAAGAAAACTGTTCAAGTTTTTGATTTGTTTTTAGGATTTTGAAATGGATATGTACTTGGCGATGGGTTGGTTTGATCGCCGTTTAGCTCACAACTGTACGCATCCGATTTTGGTGACGAGTAAGGTACGGGGAAAATGCTTTCAATGAGAACATTGAAGGATAAAATTGAATGATAAAATTGAATGATAAAATTGAATGATAACATTGAATGATAACATTGAATGATCCAGCGAACTTTAGCCTTGTATTCTAGTCCACTGCCACTCTGCCACCACTGCTGGTGATGCCGGCAGAGAAATCAGCTTATAGATTCGGGCTGTGATTAAAACCTCAAAATTATTTAGGTGATCGCCGATCGAATCTGGCATCCTGATCTCTACTTTGTCAACTCGAAATTCGCTTATTTACAAGAGGTTTCACTGTAAAGATATACCGTAAATACTGTAATTAAAAAGCATTTTCTTTTACTTTTTTTTCATACCTCAATGCCCTTCAATTACAGTATTTATGGTAGCTAAAAACTTAGCTAAATGATAGACTAAAGAACAATAATTTCAAGGTCACTACCCCGAATTTCATGGTTGTCGTCTATCCAGATGGTTTGGTGTTTAAATCGGTGAGAGTCGATGTAACCCTCTCTTGTATGCTCGAGTTGCAAATGTTTCCAATGGATTTTCAAGAATGTCCGATACTCATTCAGAGTTGTAAGTTTCAACCAAAACAAATCAGTTTCTCAATGAAGGCCCATTCCTTTAGATGCATATATTGAGAACATTGTGAAGCTTCATTGGCACATCGATCATCCACATTTCCCTGTTGGATCCAATCAGGATATAAAGGTTTATTAATAGAACGTCTATTGATATTTATTTACCGTATTTTCTCTAATAGTAGTGCACCCCGAGCGTCGTCTAAATTGCTCGAAATCTCGAAAAGCGCTTATCAGAACCTATCGATGTGGGGTCGGAAAATGTAGCTGACGATCAGATCTTGTGGGGGATTTGAGAGTTGGACTTCTGGGAAAACTTGGAGACTGTAAAATAGTGCTCAACTCGGCTCGGCGGGAAATATTAGGGGAATAGATCAGTCTGATCAACTAGCCTAACCTGGAATAATATACCGTCTTCTCTCTAATCGTAGTGTACCCAAAGCTTCGCCTAAATTGCTCGAAATCTCGAGAACCGCTTATCAGAACCTATCGATGTGGGGTCGGAAAATGTAGCTGACGATCAGATCTTGTGGGGGATTTGAGTGTTGAGCTTCTGTGAAAACTTTGAAAGCCGTAAAATAGTGATCAACTCGGCTCAGCGAAGTGCACTACTAGAGAAAATACGGTAAACTATAATCGATTTATAATTGGATACAATCATAAACGGATAAATGCTATTCAGTTAAACGACATGGAGATTGTTGATAAAAAGTTCGAGGATTGCTCTGGGGCGTATCCGATGTTTCGTGGAAGCTGTAAGTGATTGAAATTTCGACAATTTCTCAACATTCACCTAATGCTCTAATCCTAGCTTTTTATCTATTCAGCTCAATGTGTTAAGCTCAAATGCTAGTGATCATTTCTCTTAAACAGCTGGTGACTCTAGAAGGCTATTTGGTGAAAAATGTGTCTTTTTGTTGGCAAAAGTTTTTCCTCAAAAAAAAAAAAAAAAACAAAAGCAAATCTTTGCATCAAAATTTTCGTCTCAATTTTCCCTTTTTTGCTTTCAGTGGCAAGTTGATATTATAATGCTGTTGTGGAAAAGCGTTTTTTTTTAATCAAAATATAATATTGCATTAAGGGAGTACAAATGTATAAAATGGGGCCGATTTTCAGAAAATAATTTTCTGAAACACACAAAAGCTTTATATATTTATAGCTTCATAAATAAAAATCTCTATTATTTCTCTAGAAAAAAGGCTTTTTAGAAAATCGGAAAAGCTTTTGTTTTATGCATTTTATCGGCTCCGAAACGAAATGAGTGAAAATGAAAAATCGGATTCGTCGCTTCACTCATCTCTTGACTTTGCTTCTTGACTAAACTTAAATTGATTTCAAAGACAAAAAAAGTTAGAGCACATTTAATTACATACCGTAAATACTGTAATAGTACCCCACCTCCATAATGACGATGCGGAGTGTTGCGTAGTCTAGCTTTGAACGAGTTTTTCTCGACACTGGTTTATGCTACAATGCGCGCTTACCGTAAATACTGTAATAGTACCGCGCTCCCCCTCGTACAGTCGCGTAGTCGCAAAAGTTTTTTAGTATTTCATTTTTTCAAAGCGCCCGTACTTTCAAAAAATACGTTTTTGGTATCAAAAAATAGCCCTGAATTTCAGGGCTATTTTTTGATACCAAAGCGCGCATTGTAACATAAACCAGTGTCGAGAAAAACTCGTTCAAAGCTAGACTACGCAACACTCCGCACCGTCATTATGGCGGTGCAGTACTATTACAGTATTTACGGTATATGGATCTATTGCTGATAACCATATCTACACTTTATATTAGATAGCTGAATAGCTGAAATTCAGGGCTATTTTTTGATACCTAAGCGCGCATTGTAGCATAAACCAGTGTCGAGAAAAACTCGTTCAAAGCTAAACTACGCAACGCTCCGCACCGTCATTATGGGGGTGGGGTACTATTACAGTATTTACGGTAAGTCCAAAGGGTTTACGCAACATACCTAAGCGCAATATATTTGCTCTAAGCATCTAATCTAGCATTTGTTTTTGATTTTTATTTGAATATTCAATTATAAACGAAGAATTCACTTCGTTGTGTAAACGAATATCCCATAACTTTCTCGCGAGGAACACACTCTAGAGAACACGGTATTTGGGCGAAAAGTATCTAAAGTTTCGGTCCAATTGCATTTTAGTCCTTGCATTCTTTTCTTTTCCATGGATTTTTTCAAATTTAACAGCAATCTTAAATCTTTTTTTTTTGTTTTTAATAGAAAACATTAAATTCTAGAAAAAAAAGGTGAAAAAGGTGAAAATAGAAACTAAGAAGACGCGAAAAACAGGTGCCCAATTTAGTAATGACTTTCCTTAGGCCGGAGTACTTCTTTAAAGCACAATGTTAGTGGTGACTTGACTGACAAAATAAATATCAAAAATAAAGTAAAAATCATGAATTTAAATGTATTAATCGGTTTAGGTCAGGACGGGAAATGCTACGGTAAAGTCTTCACACTGAATTTTCTCTCAAAAAAAAAAAAAAAGAAAACAAATCTATCCCATTCGAATCACAAGAGATAGTCCCTCTAGAAGGTTTCTCAAGTAATGCGCCTTTCTAAAATGTGTCAAACTTTCAAAAACTACTGTAATCTTGTCTCATTTCCATCGGATAATAACTGAAGAGAAGAATTACGATAGTTTTCGATGGTTGAAACGTTTTCGAAAGAGGAGAACACACTCAAGAAGAGGAGAACACAATCTGGTCCCCTTCTCAAAGCACAGCTTCTTAACCCGGGCCTTTTTCTTTTAATTGCTAAATATAAATGAAATATTGTTCTTAATCAAAAGAAATTAAAAATAACAAAGTCTAATCTTATCATAATTTCCTAAAAATTATGCTAACTTTTCCTAAAACGCTAAAAAAAAAACTCTATTTTCTTTTGCATGCCGCCAAAACCGCTTACAGCACAAAACCCTCTAAAAAACTGTCTCACTATTATAATTTTAAAGAATACTTTCAAATTTCAATATTGCTTCATATAGTGAATTTAGATTTAGATTTTATTGGCTTTTTCTATTATTTTTTTTCAAAATTGATCTCTTAATTCTTTTAATTCACTATATGAAGTACTACTTTTATTAAAATTATTCAAAATATTTTTCAGCAAACTGGTCGTGCATAAAGGCGTCAATTGTGATGAAGCGACTCGTCCTTTTCCATATCATTCAAACATACATTCCTACTGGTAAGTTAAAATGGAAAGAGTTCTTTACAGGATTTGGAAGGAAAAATGAAGCTCATTTCCATTTGGTAAACTGAATACTGAAACTTTAATGCATTACTCTTATTCAGAATCTTTTTTTAATAGCCATTTTGAGATAGAAATGTCACGAGTGTCACGCACTTTTTGAGTGAGAACTGAGCCCAGCTTTCAGCTATACCGTATTTTCTCTAATAGTCGAAGTCTAAGTGTTTAACTGAATAGCATTTATCCGTTTATGATTATTATCCAATTATGAATCGATTATAGGTTACCGTATTTTCTCTAATAGTAGTGCACCGTCTCGAGCCGAGTTGATGGCTATTTTACGGCTTTCTAAGGTGCAAACCTTAAGGTGCATTCCGTAATAGTGTACCCTGCCGAGTTGATCACTATTTTACGGCTTTCAAAGTTTTCACAGAAGCTCAACACTCAAATCCCCCACAAGATTTCATCGTCAGCTACATTTTCCGACCCCAAATCAATAGGTTCTGATAAGCGTTTTACGAGATTTCGAGGAATTTAGGCAAAGCTCTGGGTGCACTACTATTAGAGAAAATACGGTACTTTAAATCATCACTCGATTACCGTAAACCGTAACTTTTCTAGATGCTACAGTAAACCTTTCGTTTCAACCGTAATCGATAGAAATTGCTAGAAAGCACTTTGACTACGATCTGATTCTTTTAAGATATAAAAAGCAGATAACTAACAGATTACGGTAGCTTTCAAAGGTTGTTAGGTTTTAGAAAACTTGCTTACATTGCAATACTTTACAATACTTTTAACAAATTCCTTCAATCTTTTTTTTTTCACAGGTATGCTCGTTGTGATTTCGTGGATGTCCTTTTGGCTTGATCCGAGAGCCTCACCGGCAAGGTTGGCCTTTGAAAAATAGAAGCTTAAACTAACAACAAAAAAATGACAGAATTTCTCTAACGATCACCTCATTGCTGACTCTGACAACGATGAGCAATGGAGCACGTCAAGATTTGCCACAAGTTTGTCATGATTTAAACCATTTTTTTAAACTGTTAAATTTAGGTTTCTTACATAAAAGCTCTCGATATTTGGCTGACATTCTCTCAAGGATTGATCTTTCTCGTTCTTCTCGAGTACTCGTTTGTCTCCTTTTACATCACGCGTCGGGTTTTCGACTGTGTTCATCGAAAATTTCAGCAGAAACTTTCCAATCATAATCATCACAAGCACTCGGTTAGTTGGGGGAAAGGGATTAGATAAAGTTATCTATGACATAGTTATCTATGAGATAGTTATCTATGAGATAGTTATCTATGAGATAGTTATCTATGAGATAGTTGTCTATGAGATAGTTGTCTATGAGATAGTTATCTATGACATAGTTATCTATGACATAGTTATCTATGAGATAGTTATCTATGAGATAGTTATCTATGAGATAGTTATCTATGAGATAGTTGTCTATGAGATAGTTGTCTATGAGATAGTTATCTATGACATAGTTATCTATGACATAGTTATCTATGAGATAGTTATCTATGACATAGTTATCTATGAGATAGTTATCTATGAGATAGTTGTCTATGAGATAGTTATCTATGACATAGTTATCTATGAGATAGTTATCTATGAGATAGTTGTCTATGAGATAGTTGTCTATGAGATAGTTATCTAAGTACTGTATTTTATTGTTTATAGTTAGGATTAGGGTGAGTTTCTTTTTTTAGTGTATTTTCTTAAAGAAATCCTTTCTAAAAAGACATCTAAAAGTCAGTTTTAGTCATTTCAATCATTTCAAATAGTCCTTTTAAATAGTCCTTTCAAATAGTTAAGCAAATCAACCAGCTTTGAGCCAAAGCGATTCTTCGAATCATACAAAAATTGAGCAAATCCATTGATCAGTTCTTAAATTAACAATAGTTTTCTAAAATTCTTTTTTCAAATTACTTTAAGAGCATATAGTAAGTTATCATTCAAATTGAAACTCAAATTGAAACTCAAATTCAAATCATTCAAAGAACAATTTCAATCGTTTCAACAATTGGATTGAAAGTTGTTCCTTTTGATGAACACTATAGATTTCCTCAATTAAAATCGCTACAAAAAAATTGGTCGTAAACCCAAAAACCCTTTGCTTAAAGCTCTTTGTAAAGCCTTTTTTCCATTGAAACTTATCCCTAAAAATTCTCCCTAAAAATTCTCCCTAAAAAAATGCCAAATACAAACAGCTACTCGAAACGATTTTGCCGGGATATCGAAAGAAACATTATAAATATCGGGTAAGGGAAATCAAATTCTCGTTTTCAGCTTTTTTACACCGATCACCTTGACGATTTCGACGATCCGGTGGTACTAAAAAACAGTTTTTTTAAAACATTTTTTTTCTTCAACTTCTATCAGCTTTCGTACAGTCGCTGTGAAAGATTTTTTCTTAAACAAAAAGAAAAAAAGATTCCACTTAATTTGCACAGCTAGTGAAAAGAAATGAAATGTGATCGGGAAACGTGGTGATGCACTTGAGAAAAAAAAGAGATTTTAACATTTCGACATAAACCCGAGACGTCTGGTGCATTGAAATTTCATTGAATTTGTTGAAATGATAAAGGAAAGATAAGATAAAAATAAGAAATTTCTCATCAGGCTACTTTTCAATCAAATTCAAAATCAATCAAATCAAATGAAATCAAATTTTCCTTATTACCATTACCATTACCATTACCTTATTACCATCGACAACAATAAGCATTAATGCTTATTGTTGAATGAATGAGGACAACATTAAGCAGTAATGCTTATTGTTGAATGAATGAGGACAACATTAAGCAGTAATGCTATGTTGAATGAATGAGGACGACATTAAGCATTACTTTATTGTTGAATGAATGAGGACAACTTGCAGTATGCTTTTGTTGAATGAATGGGACAACATTAAGCAGTAATGTTATTGTTGAATGAATGAGGACAACATTAAGCAGTAATGCTTATTGTTGAATGAATGAGGACAACATTAAGCAGTAATGCTTATTGTTGAATGAATGAGGACAACATTAAGCAGTAATGCTTATTGTTGAATGAATGAGGACAACATTAAGCAGTAATGCAGTAACGCTTATTGCTGTCCTCATTCATTCAACAATAAGCCGTACCGCTTATTGCTGTCCTCATTCATTCAACAATAAGCCGTAACGCTTATTGCTGTCCTCATTCATTCAACAATAAACATTACTGCTTATTGTTGTCCTCATTCATTTGAGACTTTACCAATATCTAGAATTATTTAAACAAAAGAAAACAATAAAAAAAAAGAATTTCAAAAACCCAGATGGCTTGTGGTTTTAAAAAAACCTTATATTTAAATGATTAAATGAAAATTTTTAGGGTGAAGATTATAAATGCGAAGAAGCGCCCACACCAGAGAGCTTTCCATTTGCTGTAAGTTTTCTTCAAATCTTTTTTTCTTTTTGATTTCTCTAATAACACTCATTTTTTTGAGCACTTAAAAAGTGTTTTGATTTTTATAAATGTAAATTTTTGAGTTAAAACTGCAAATGACTAACTCACAATTGAGATTTTATAGGCATTTGGGGTAAGAAGATCAAAAAAATGGAAAACTATAAAAGTACTTATTGATTAGCAATGAAAAATTTGAATTATAAATTTATATATGTCGCAGCCGCTCGTGATTTTCAGCCGCTAGTGACCATCAGCTAGTCGCTAGTGATTGAATCACCATCGGCTAGTCGCTAGTGATTGAGTCACCATCGGCTAGTCGCTAGTGATTCAATCACCATCGGCTAGTCGCTAGTGATTGAGTCACCATCGGCTAGTCGCTAGTGATTCAATCACCATCGACTAGCCGATGGTGATTCAATCACTAGCCGCTGAAAATCACGAGCGGCTGCGACATATACTAATTTGAGGCCAGTTATTAACTTTTCAAATTTCCATATGAACTCGATAAGAGTGCTGTCATTAACAAGTACTTTTCAAGAGTCCATTCAACTGCTCTTTGACCCATTGATCAATTTGTCAGGAATTAAAGATCAAGATTTTTTTGAATGTGTTTCGATTCGCAAGATTGATTGTAGCGCTCTGGCCGCGAATCCCCACCACCGCCGCAAATCATCGTCGATGGAGTGAATGGAGAGCTGAACAATGGATCGGTGCTTGGAGGATCGATGAGAGAATCACTTGTATCGGAAAAGGATCGAGATGCGGCACGGGAACACGAGAAACAGCCATTCACCGTCACTCATGGATTGTCGCAATGCATGAGTCGAACTGCGGTTGGCATTTTGAAAGGCTTTCATGAGACATGCGCGCTACAAACTACAAACATAAACTACAAATGCTTCTAACTTTCTTCAAATCTACCGCATTTGCATGATCTATAGCTTGAAAAATAGAGAATATCAAGAGCTTTCAAATGAACTAAAGGAAACCGAAAAATATAAATGCTAATGAAAGTTACAGTGGTTTGAAGTCTTGCTTGATACAAACCACTGTAACTTTCATTAGCATTTATATTTTTCGGTTTCCTTTAGTTCATTTGAAAGCTCTTGATATTCTCTATTTTTCAAGCTATAGATCATGCAAATGCGGTAGATTTGAAGAAAGTTAGAAGCATTTGTAGTTTGAGAGTTCATCATTTTTGTAGTTTGTTAGTGCTCATGTCTAGATTAGATTTTTTTGAGGACACTTATGTATTAGATTAGACTCTTTGAGGTGTACTTTGAGCTCAGAATAAAAACGCGCCTTTCTGCTGCACTGAATTCCTAATTTCTCTTACAGAAACGGCTGGTTTCTCAAGAGAATCGACGAATTGCGGTGCGTGTTAGAAAGTTTGCGTTTCCATTCTAGAGCACGAAGGTAAATCTCTCTAAATGCATAAGGATTCTCTCAAGATTGAGAGGGGATTTTTTTTACTGTAAATATCTATCAAATGCTCTTCAACAAATCAACAAATTTACCTCTCATTCTTGATTTAAAAAAAAAATTCTTTAAAAATCCCTCTTTGGTTAGAGTGAAAGTTTTCTAAGTTTTTCTAAGTTTCCTTTTTTTTTTTAGTTTATTAATTTTAAAAGATTTCTAAAAGAAAAGCTTATCTCAAGAAATGTCGCTAGATAGCCCTGAATATAGGAGGTGTATTTCGGGGCTAATAGCTGAATATAGGAGGTGTATTTCGGGGCTAATAGCTTTGCGAGACACCCCTCGTCCACTGGGGTAGTAACGCAAAAAAATGCCTCGTCACGAATATGTTAACACATTCACGACGACGACATTTTGAGTGTACAATCGCGTAGTCGTTAACGGTTTTACTGATAATTTGGTGAAGATTCAAAGATAAACTAAACTATTATATTGGGTTGGGGAGAATGAGTCGGCGCCGAAAATCAAAAAATGTCTAAAACTTCTTTCGACTTCGTCAAATAATTGCTTTGTATCAGTAGAATGGTTAACTATTCTCTACAAAATGACATTTAAAAGAAAATTCAAACAGCGCCTCCGCTCAAGAAAAAGCCATTTTTTCACAAAAACTACAAACTGTGATCTAGAAAAAACCACTGGTGGGATCTTCCTGCAAATTTGGCAACTTAAGTAATTGAATGTGCTCTATCTTTTTTATATAAACACCAAAGAAGGTTTATGTGAAAGAAACTGTTCAAATGATGAGTCGGACTCTTTGCCATTTTAACCAGCTGCGTTTGGAAGTTCATAAACTCCACGAAAGAAAAGCTTTGTGGAATCTCTCAAAAGTCATTTTGTAGAGAAATAGTGGTCCTTTGATGACCAAACGTATGTTTAAGAGGCTTTATGTGCAAAGTCCCTTTAGTTCGGCGCCGACTCATTCTCCCCAACCCATAGTCATTCGATAGCTCTGAATCCTCCTCTTGAAAACGAGTATAAATTTAGCGAGAAATTTCTAGGAAATAAATAACAAAAGTTTCTGGCAAAACTTGTGTTGATATGAAAAATAATCGTTATTAGTTCGGTCCACTGGCGGATCGTATCGTCGTGAATGTGTTAACGAAACAAACAAACGAATGTGAAATGCAATGCAGATTTATTTCACATGCAAATAAAAAAGTTAGGTTAATCGGATCGGTTAATTTTAGCACCTCGGGAGGGAACTTCTGTTGCCAAATTCGAAAAATTATGCCATTGTATTGATGAGAAAATTTGTCAACACCATCGACTAGCCGATGGTGAATGAAACACTAGCGATTGAATCACTGAATCACTAGCGACTAGCCATCATTGTATTATGTCATCATCATCGACTAGCCGATGGTGATTCAATCACTAGCTGCTGAAAATCACGAGCGGCTGCGACATATACTACACATTCACGACAATACGATCCGCCGGTGGACCGAACTAATAACGATTATTTTTCATGTCAACACAAGCTTTCAAGAAACTTTTGTTATTTATTTCCTATCAATTTCTCGCTAACTTTATACTCGTTTTCAAGAGGAGATTCAGGTCTATCGAATGACTATTGGGTTGGGGAGAATGAGTCGGCGCAAGGGCTTTTGCACACATAGCCTCTTACATACGTTTGGTTCACAAGGTCCACTATTTCCTACAAATCACCTTTGGGGATTCCCAAGCTTTCTTTCGTTTCCCGCATCTAGCGACATTTCTTGAGGTAACTAAACTAGAAAATTAAACTATAAAAATTAGATTCAAAACTTGTATTCTTTCCCATAAAACAATCAATGAATCAATTCAAAATCAATCAAAAATTTTTCTATAATCAACAAATGAACAATCGTCTAGCCTAACAAACTTTTACACAACTTCAACGGGCATTTGGTAAGAAGGAGTTGATGCCCATTACCTTTTTTTCAATTCAATTTCAATTCTGAACTAACACTAACACTTTCTTTGCTTCTAAACCATTTAATTAGTTACACAAGGTAAAAAAAAGAAATTTTGATTTAATTACTCAACTAACACTAACATTTCTTAGGCCAGAAAAGTTATCGGACATTTGGTTTTTCTTGCTCTTTTGCTATTGACCAACTTTAAGCTCAATGATCTTCGTGTTTGGCTATCCAATCTAAAGATTCTTCGTATTATTACATGCGCCAAGTCTTTCTCGGTCGATTGGTACAAAAACTATTTCAATTAAATTGCCCAACACCAAGAAATTTGAGCTTAAAGTTGGATTATCAATGAGAAAAGAGCAAGGCAAATGTCCATAATCTTAAAGAAATTAATCTGTTCATCTGAAAATTAATCTGAAAATCTGTTCCCTCTGTTCTCCTATTTCTCTTTGAGTGATCAAAAAAATGAGAGACGTATTGAAGGCGTTGAATCGAGCACTGTGCGGCGATGAGTTCCCACCGGGGACAACGTTTCGACCACGATTGGCATCATGGGTGGAATTGGAAGTGGAAACGGCTGTAAGGAGAAAAATGAGAGAATGAATTGAGAGAGAAAGAGAAAGAGAGAGAGCATCCACGCACACACAATTGTCCTCTTCAAAGTTATCGTTATTGCTTTGTTTTTTTTGCGTATTTGTGTTGTCCCTTCAGTACTTTCTTTAACAAAATCCCTGTTTTAATTTTGAAGCTAATTTAGTATATCTACAAAATAAGTCTTATTTATTTTGTAGATATACTAAATGACAACAATTTACGTACTAGTACTATAGATATCAGTATGAATACGTGTTGCGATTACTTTCAAAGTATAATCCAATAAACCTGGACCCTGGCCCATCAAGTAGCCGACCTCGCTCCACCCAAGTCACAAGATAGTAAATAGTAAATTGTTGATAGTAAAATAGGTTTGATAGTAAGCGATTTTTGTAAGCTAAAAGTCGAATGATAAACTGCTGTTTGCCGTTTTTCACATATTCTGACACAATCTCTAGATCAACCTAAGGATTTCTGGAGTTTTTTCAATTCAAGTTATCTAATAATTTGCATACCAATTCAAAAATCAATTAATCTGTAATTCTAAACGATTGTTGACAGTAAAGATTGATTTCTTTTCCTCAACTTGTAACGTAGTCTTTATTTTCTTTGCATGTTCACTGTGTCCTTTAGTCTGTTCGCAAAAGATTTCCACTTCACGTAAAAAAAAAAATGAACGAGTAGAGAGCATTTTTGCCGTTTTTTTTGAGCATGAGATTGAAAAGGTTCTTGATGGGAATTATGGTTCTTTTAAGATTTTTAAGATGACTGATGACTTATGACTTTTAAGATGATTCAAAGCTTCCGTTCAAAGCTTTATAAAAGCTCAAAGCTTTATAAAAGTTCAAAGCTTTCTAAAGGCTCAAAGCTTTCTAAAAGCTCAAAGCTTTAAAGATCAAAGCTTTATAAAAGCTCAAAGCTTCTAGTAAACTTTAAAGTTCAAATCGATTCATCAAAGCTTTATAGAAATCTAGTAAACTAGTGATTAAAGTTCAATGATCTACGATTCCCATTTTGAGCTTTTTAGCAATTTCACCAAAATATCCTTTAGTCACTTTTTGATGATCAATTTCTAGGCTCTTGTCTCAGCCACTCCACACGCAGCCGCTCATATCTACAACAAATTTGATTTCACGAAACCGTGCACAAAATGCGCTTTGGAAAATGAGAGAACGGCAAGGAAAATTGATCGATGTACGGGTTTTATAAGATAAGATTCCAAAATCATTTTAATTCTAAGCTTTTCAAGTTTAACAGTTTTTTTTTGCAAAGAAAAGCTATCCTAAGAAACACTTGAGAATTCTATGCAGTAATATTGACTAGAAAAAAAGACCTACCGTAAATACTGCAATAGTACCCCACCCCCATAATGACGGTGCGGAGTGTTGCGTGGTCTAGCTTTGAACGAGTTTTTCTCGACACTGGCTTATGCTACAATGCGCGTTTAGGTATCAAAAAATAGCCCTGAATTTCAGCTATTTTTTGATACCAAAAACGTATTTTTTGAAAGTACGGGCGCTTTGAAAAAATGAAATACTAAAAAACTTTTGCGACTACGCGACTGTACGAGGGCGGTGGGGTACTATTACAGTATTTACGGTAGCTACCGTAGTTATCTAGTCAAAATGCTATCAAAATGCAAATGTTAAATGCAAATCTATTTTCTACATCTCACTACAGTATGTCGATTTGAAAATATCAAACTGGTAGAACTAAATGTTTCAAATGAAATCGTTTAAAGCTTTCCTCCTTTACAGCTACTGTAATAGAACTGAGACATTAAAGTTGCCCTAATCACATAGCATACTTTAATGAGCTTACAGTATCTATAATAGCTACAGTAATCTTGTAGTAGCTACACTAGTAGCTATAATAGCTACAGTAATCTACAGTAACTCAACATTTGCAGACTCTCGTTTCGTTTTTCCAATGGTTTTCGTGATTTTCTGTGTCGCCTACTGGTCTTACTATTATTGGATCAAAAGCGAGAATGAGGCAAAAAACAAAAACTAAATGAATATATTTGTTGATGTTAAATTGCATTTGAATTGTTCTACAATTTCCTATATTCCTACCGTACTCTTTACAGATTACTATAGAAGAGTTTCATCTAAACAAAACTTCTTCTTGAGCTTCACTTATGTGGTCATTTTTTTTCTTGATTTTCTTTGTCTTTTCCTTTTCTTTTCCTTTTCTTTACTTTATGCTTTTTTTTGATTTCTTGATTTGCAATTGTTGTTTATGAATTTTCCCCCAGAATACGAGTGTGCCTTTCCTTCATTTCATTGATTTTGATTTTCTTTGAAGAAGAAATGACAGTACTAGCCTAGTTGGAGAGGGGCATGATTTTTTTTTTCCTCAAAACCACTTTTTCTAGAGTAGTTCTATGCGTAGATTCCGAAAAAACATAAAGAGAGCTTGAGAAAGCGTCTTTTAAGCCAAGTTTCGAAGGTCCAAAGTGTTCGCTTCTACAATGTACTTCACTATATGGAGCTGAAACTATCGAGCTCAAGCTCAAGCTATCGAGCTCAAGCTATTAAGGCACTTTTCAAGGTCAAAACTAGAGCCGAAATCATTTTTGACTACCAAATCATTATTTCCTAACTTAAATTGATTGAGAAAAGCAAAAGAAATTGAAAAAATACTTTGTTGAGATTTTGAGCGATTTTGTGAGATCAAATGGTCGAAATTTGGAAAAAAAAATATTTTATGAAGATATGATATATCTAAAGAAAATTTTGCTTTAATTTGTTTAGAAACGTAATCAATAGGTTAAATTATGCTAGAAGAAGGGTTTTTGCCTTTAAAAAATGTTTTTGAGAGAGCTTTTTGAGAGAACCATTTTTAGACCTCTTCCCTATGTGTATCCCGCTCATCACACTGTAGAAGCGAGCACTTTGAAGCCGCGAAACTTGGCTTAAAACACAAAGCCTGTTAGGAAATAATGATTTAGTAGTCAAAAATGGTTTTGGCTCTAGTTTTGACCTAGAGAAGTGCCTCAATAGTCGATAGTTTGGGCTCCATAGTGAAGCTCCATAGTACATTATGGAAGCGAGCACTTTGGAGCCGCGAAACTTGGCTTAAAACACGTTTTCCCAAGCTCTCGTTATGTTTTTCGGAATCTACGCATAAAACTACCCAAGAAAAAGTGGTTTTAAGGGGGGAAAAAAGAAGCGTACCCTTCCCCCAACTAGGCTAGTACCGAAATGACATTAAGTTTTAGGTCTGGAGAATGTTAAAAGATATTAAAAGATTTAGTAGTAATATTTTTATACATCAAAAGACCTAAAAAACAGCAAAACACAACAAAAGTCAGCAGAAAAAATGTCAAATCGGACACTTTTAAAAATAAAGCTATTACAACAGAATCGAAAATGAAACCCTGAAATTAATTTTCTCACTTATAAACAACAGAGGAAATATTATAATAATTATCTTTTGCTCGAAGGTATTTTCGTAAGCTAAAAGTCGAAGGATAAACTGCTGTTTGCCGTTTTTCATATATTCAGACTCAAGCAGCTGACCCGCCGCCGCCGATGACAACAATTTACGTACTAATACTATAGATATCAGTATGAATACGTGTCACGATTACTTTCAAAGTATAATCCAATAAACCTGGACCCTGACCCATCAAGTAGCCGACCCGCCACTCTCGCTCCACTCAAGTCACAAGATAGTAAATAGTAAATTGTTGATGGTAAAATAGTAAGTAAGTAAAATAGGTTTGATAGTAAGTGATTTTTGTAAGCTAAAAGTCGAATGATAAACTGCTGTTTGCCGTTTTTCACATATTCTGACTCAATTTCTAGATAAACCTAAAGATTTCTGGAGTTTTTTTCAATTCAAGTTATCTAATAATTTGCATACCAACTCAAAAACCAATTAATCTGTAATTCTAAACGATTGTTCTTGACAGTAAAGATTGATTTGTTTTCCTCAACTTGTAACGTAGTCTTTATTTTCTTTGCATGTTCATTGTCTCTTTTAATTTGTCCGCAAAAGATTTCCACTTCACATAACAAAAAATCAACGAGTACAACAGATACAGAATTCTCTTTTGTTCGATTTCATTTCGATTGAATTTTTTCATTTTAAGCTTTAATCTTTAAACTTTAGTTATTTCTTTTGTACAATTCTTCTAAAATTTTAAATTAAAAACAATGTTTTTAGTCAAAATTTACCTCATCAAACACCAATTAATCTACTTTATTTGCCGTTTTTGATCGATTCAATCGACTCATCCATCACCTATTTATAAGGCTATAAATGTTTTAATTAAAAGATACTTTATTCAACATGAATAAGTGGATACAACACAACGGAGGACACAATTTTTACCCCTACAATGTAGTTAAGAAAAAACCCAACTTAATGGGAAAAAGAACACACTTGATTTTGCCAGCGAGATCGAAATCTCGACCTTCCGATTAGGAGACAAGACTCCTAACCAGTCGGCCAACTGGACTAACTTTCTTAATTTACAAAAATTACTTTGATTTTAAATCTTGAGATACCGTATTTTCTGTAATAGTAGTGCGCATTACTATTTTTTTTCAACCGCCCTCCAGCCTGCACTACTATTATAGACTGAACTACTATTAAGACTACACTACTATTACAGATTGCACTACTATTACAGAAAATACGGTATATTAGATCTTCACATAAGGTCTTTTTAAAGAAATCACCACGATTTACATCTTTGAAAATAGTTTCAATAAAGTACTAGATCCAAAGAACTCTTTCCAAAACTAAAAACATTACTTTGTATTTGAAAAACTGTAGTATTTCTAAGGTCGATTCCCTGTTTTCTCAAAAAAACACACTTCAAAGTGGAAAACTTGTATTGCAAATAATGTTTTTTGTAAATAAGCTACTCTCTGACGAGCCTTCATACAAAACAACACTTTTTAGTGTTGTCTTGTAACACTACAACACAACAGTTTTCCCTTATTAGCTAGAGTTGATCTTTTGTTCAGTGTTTATGCAGCCTTGTTTGCTCAATTAATATCAAAGGTTTATTTGGTGTCTGAAAATGGTTTAAAATTTAAACACGTTTAAACACGTTTAAACACGTTTAAACACGTTTAAACACGTTTAAACACGTTTAAACACGTTTAAACACGTTTAAATACGTTTAAATACGTTTAAATACGTTTAAACACATTAAACCAAGAAAAGCTAGAGCCGGTTTCGTGCAAAATCTAAAACAACAATCATTGGAGATTCACAGCAAGCTCGAGTCGATCTTCGTGCGATGAGAGGCCGACCACCGAAAAGTTTGCTCCTAGAAAAAAAGGAACTAAAAGTGTATTCGAATTGTTATAAACAAAAATATAATAATTATTGCACGCTTGTTATTTTCCGAGATTTAATCTATAGATTTTATGATTAAGCTGTTTCTAATGTAACAGGTGGGCTTTAGGTAAGTTACCGTAACTTCTTGATAGCAATTTTTATGATAGTAACTTACATACTTACATTCTTACATACTTACTTACATACTTATTTACATACTTACTTACTTACTTACTTACATACTTACATACTTACTTACATACTTACTTACATACTTACATACTTACTTACATACTTACTTACTTACTTACTTACATACTTACTTACATACTTACTTACATACTTACTTACATACTTACTTACATACCTACTTACATACTTACTTACATACTTACTTACATACTTACTTACATACTTACATACTTACTTACATACTTACTTATGACTTACATACTTACTATTAGTAAGCATATTTGACCTTTATCAAAATATATAAATGATGAAGTAGTTTTTTTAAACCTAGTATCCCAAACGATAGAATCTGTAAGTCAAGACTTCTAGCCAGATACTTTTTATAGAGATCAGGCCAACAGTCTCCAATCAAAGCCTAATCTTGTCTAAAAAAAATTGAATGTTTTTAATTTTCAAAGATCTCTAGTTATGAGGTTGATTTGTCCTCGCATTACCAAGTCCCTTTTTAAAGGTTCCTTTCACTTCTTTCTCTCTTTCTCTCTTTCTTTCTTTCTATCTTTCTTTCTTTCCTCCTCAATTTCCCCAATATTTCTTCATTTCTCATTCCTTATTTAGGGTTATATGCAAAATTGAAATTTTCTGACTGAATATTCAAATTCTTGAACCTAAAAATCGAAGGATGCTAAACGATTTGCCTAACGAAATTTTGGTGAAAATTTTTGCTCGACTCGAATGGGATTCTCTGAAAGAGGTAAAGACTATTGGGAATTAAAAAAAACTTCATCGAGATATTGAAAATAGATTCGTTTATGTTGCAAAAAGTTCACAAATGTCGTTAAAACGAATTGGAAACATTTGAGGGAACCGCTGGAAGAGCTCGAGATCGTTGAAAGACCCAGGGTCGAGGGGAAACAAGTGCACGAGGTGGCTTTTGAAACCTTTATCCATAAATAGATATTTATAATTTATTAATAAAATATAAAATATAAATATAATACATAGATAGATATGTATAAGTTTCAAAAATTGATCTTTTTTTCTTTCAGCAATCGGCTCAATTTTACATTTGCGAGACGGGAAAATATTCTCGGAATCGACATGAGATTTTCGTCGAGAATCGAGAGAAAATTCAAATTTTTAACTTAAAAGTATTTAGTTATTGAAATAAAATATTGATTTATGTAAGAATTTTAGGTGGAAGAAAGATTGAATCAAAAAGAATCGTTTGTAAAGATTGGGAGTGAGGTGAGGAAGAGAATTAAATAATATTTTGAAAGCTAACATTGTGATCAAAAAAAGAGTAACAGAAAAAGAATCAAAAAAGAATCGTTTGCAAAGATTGGGAGTGAGGTGAGGAAGAGAATTTTGTCATATTTTAAAAGCTAACATTGTGATCAAAAAAAGTAACTGAATTTTTTTTAGAATGGTAATCAAAAAACGTTTATCTATGCGGAAGATGCGAAGAAATTTATGGAAATTTATTTGTTTTTGCATCGATTCGATATCATTCGGAAGATACGCTTTGAGCAGGTTTTTTAGAAAAAAGTCTTGATTTTGATTGATTCTTAGACTTTCTTAAGTTTTAAGTAACTTGTAGAAATATTTCTTTATCAGTTAAAACGATGCGATAAGACTGATCTAAAAGATTTCTTGCTGAAAAGTAATTGGAAACGCTGATTGTTTTATGGGTTGAGGCTAAGAATACAAAAAAAATGACTAGATAATTTCAGTTTTATCTATTAGATATATTTTATCTATCTATTTTATCTATTGTCAACTAAATATTTAGAAACTAGAAATATTTCTTTATCAGTTAAAATCTTTGAGATCAGCCATGAGACTGATCTTAAAGATTTCTTGCTAAAAAATGACTAGATAATTTCGGTTTTATCTATTAGGTTGTCAACTAAAAATAGGTTTTACAAAAGCGTTGAATAAAGTACGATTTGCACCATTGGAAAGATCCATATTTCCTCTGCAAAATCGTTGCTGACAATTTAGAAAAGTTTTTTTGGGGGTTTTTCGAGAGAGGAAAGGAAGGCGAGTAGGGGAAAAGCGATCTCTCGCTTACCGAGCGAACGCTACCAATGAGCTACACCGACTGGTATCCCATTGAGCTTTATGTCTTATTTCAGTTGACGATCGATGAGAAAATGATTGAAGCTTTAATCGGTGGATTTATGAAAGAAAACTTGAAAAGGATTCAAGTGAAAGTATTTTATTTATTTAGAGTAATAGATTTAAAAGAGAATTTACAGAAGTTGACTTTGGATTCGTGTTTTCTCGACGGCATTGTACCGGAAGAGTTTCATCAGTGAGTTTTCTTAAAAAAAGATATATAAAACAAATCTAGAAATAGGCTGATTACGAAAGTTTTTAGAAATAGATGAAAATAGATGCCTTTTAGAATAATATATACGCTTTATTCATGGGGCGAATAGAAGCGAATCAGATAATCATAACTGCATATAACATATTGCTACAATACTCTCACCGAAAAAAGAGAGAAAACTAAAGATAGTACAGTAAGAGTACAGTTAGGAAACACAGATACAAAAAGATTAAATATAGGCAGATTTGACATGGCAATAAGATCTAATTCGTTCACAGATACTTTGAATTTTCCTACAGACGAGAAGATACCAGACGGGAGCTTATTCCAAGCCCTACTAATAAGGGAAATCAAGAATGAAAGCGTACAGAGTATTGTAGGCTTTAGGAAAGAGTTAGGAAAGAAATATTTCGTAAAATTAAGTAATATTCTTTTACAGAATGATTGAGACAATCTCACCAAAAGGCCTTGAAATGTTTCAATTGTATGGGAATTGTTTACAAAGATGCGCTGAATTCGTGAATCAGAGTTTCTTTCGTTTGAAATCGGTTAGAAATTTCACAAACTCAAAAATTTACCATAAAAATCTTGTAGATCAGAAATTTGGATCACTTATCATTGAATAAATTCACTCGATCGAATATTTCATATAAATGGGGAAATGAAACGGATTTGTTTCTTGGTTGTCATCACGTGAATGGAGAAGGAAACGAGCTTTGGGATTTCAATGTCAGTTGTAAAAAGACGATGAAAGATGATGGAAGATGATGAAAGTTGATAAATTAAGATAAATGATAATTATAATAGCTTCAGCTCTTTTTGATACACTTTTTGAGTGTACTCTTTATTCAAAAAGTATCTTTTTTAAGCGCAGTTACTTTTCTTTTCTAGCAGCAGTGATTTGAAATGATCAGAAAAGTGATAGATGCGATAAGGTGTTTAGAAATGCACAAAGTATAAAGAGCAGCAAAAACTGGGTATAGTCATAGAAAATGTCATAGAAAATGTCATAGAAGTCATAGAAAATGTTTTAAGCTTCCCGCTCACACAGATCTTCTTCGTTTTTACAACATGAATGGAGTTGATGAGGAGACATTTCGAAGAGAGATTACGGTAAGATGAAAAAAAGAGAAGACAAGAAAAGATTACGGTAAGATGACAAAAAGGGGGGTGGGACAAATTTTTTTTGCGCACCTGGACATTTGCGCACCTTTTTTTTGCTGGAAAAGGCCTTAGGAAAGGTCGTAGAGCTTCAAAAATGCTCTCGTGTAAGGGAATCGTATGCGTAGATTCCGAATTTCGACAAATCAGACCTCGCTGACGCGTCAAATTTGGGCTAAAAGGCAAAAACTACGCAACTTAACGCTTTTCCGCAGTTTTTGCCTTTTAGTCCAAATTTGACCTGTCAGCGAGGTCTGATTTGTTGAAATTCGGAATCTACGCATACGATTCCCTTCTAAGAGAGCATTTTTGAAGCTCTACAGCCTTTCCTAAGGCCTTTTTCAGCGAAAAAAAAAGGTGCGCAAATGTCCAGGTGCGCAAAAAAAAGGTCGCATTTGTCCCACCCCCCAAAAGAGAAAAGGAAAGAGAAAAGGAAAGAAAGAGAAAAGAAAAGAAAAGAAAAAAGGATTACGTTAACATTTAGCGATGGATAAACGGAGAGCGAAAGATCAAATTCTGGCGTTTCCGTTGCCCCGATCAGCGGATACTCGAGGATTCCTTTTGGAAAGAACTTGTGCGCAAATTCAAGAAACTTGATGTAAAGATTGTTAAAAAGAAATTTTTAGATTAATATTAGAGATAATAAATCAAATTCTAGAGTAATGGAGAAAACTCGGAAGAACCGTACGAATATGTGAAACTTGAGAATCTAAATCACGAGAAATTATGGGGAAACAATCGAAACACACGGGATTTCGGGCCGAGATTCGTTTTTCAAGATATTCCATTTTATTAGTCATGCTCAATTTTGAAAATAAAATATTTTGAAAGTAAATTTTTGTTCTTTGTCATTTCCTTGAGAGTTTCCGAAAAAGTACGCTTAGGGAAAGCTATTTCAGAAAAGATGATATTGAATTAAAGCTCTTTAATTCATTAAACTAATCTACCGTACTCCGATTGTCTTCTAGCGTTAATCTAACTGCACAAAAAACAGGTAGCACACTTTTTAAGCTTTACTCAAACAAGGGTAACTTTACGCGAAATTTTTTGCGGAACTGATCATCACTTTCTTCTACAGAGTGTCTCAAAAAAAACCCCTTTCAGACCGAATTTTAGAAAAACTTTAAGTAGCTATTTGTGGCACTCCTGGTTACAAAACTGTTTTTTCTTTAAGGCAATTTTTTCTATATATGAAATTTTTTCACCACCATTGTCCCCATCACCATACCACCACCACCAACTACCACCACACTTTTTAGGCTTTACTCAAACAAGGGTTATGCCAAATTTTTTTGCGTAACTTGTCATAACTTTCTTCTGGGTTAATCTTTATGATTTTGGTGTTATTTTGTAGATCTCAACTAGAGTGTGTTCCTCTCGACTAATGCGTTTTCTAAAATGCACCTATTTGATAAAAGTACCGTAGTCAAAGGGCCAGTTTTCATCAGATCAATCCAATTTTTAAATCATCGGCTGAGCCTTGTAATTCCTCATCAAATGATACCAAAATTGAGCTGATCGGATGTAAATTGGCAGTTTGACTACTGGAGGCAGATCCAGTACTGGAGGCAGATCCAGTACTGGAGACAGGCCCAGTACTGGAGACAGATCCAGTACTGGAGGCAGGCCCAGTACTGGAGACAGGCCCAGTACTGGAGACAGGTCCAGTACTGGAGACAGGCCCAGTACTGGAGACAGGTCCAGTACTGGAGACAGGCCCAGTACTGGAGACAGGTCCAGTACTGGAGACAGGCCCAGTACTGGAGACAGGCCCAGTACTGGAGACAGGTCCAGTACTAGAGACAGGTCCAGTACTAGAGACAGGTCCAGTACTAGAGACAGGTCCAGTACTAGAGACAGGTCCAGTACTAGAGACAGGTCCAGTACTAGAGACAGGTCTAGTACTGGAGGCTCCTGTGATTTTCTCAAATAGGTGCATTTTAGAAAACGCATTAGTCGAAAGGAAAAAACTCTAGTTGAGATCGACAAAATAATACAAAAATCATAAAGATTGATCCACTTCGAAGAAAGTTATGGCTAAAGGCGAGTTGAGCAAAGGATCCAGTTCTCAAGGTTTTCTGGTTTGAAGGGGAAAATAAAGTCTTACCAACAAATGTGGGCAATGGCAGTGTGACGTACTTTTTGAACATTTCAACGAGATGAAGATAGATCTAAAAGAGCAAAAAAAATGATAAAAATTCTTTAAAACCAACAAAACAATAACTGATAACTGTTTACGAAGAATTGAAAAGTTGCAAAATGAGGTTCAAATCAATTTCTCACTAATCAATTGAGTGTTCCAGATCTCTCAAAATCGTTCACCTCTCTCCCATAATGAAATCTGATTTGTGCCTCATCTCCGGAAATCTTCTCGCTAAGAACTTGCAAATAGAAAATGAACTTGCCAAAATTTTGCCTTAATACTTTAATTTGTACTTTTTTTTTCTGCAAATCACTTACTGATACATCAATCTTGTAAACAAATCTTTCTCGTATTCAAATATTTTTCTTTCATTTTTCTCATAAAGCTCGGCTTTCAGCGGAACCGTGACAAGGATTTTATTTTTCTCTGAAAATAGTTTAATCATTGAAATATAATAAGGTCATATTCTCGATATCCGATAAAAATAGTGACCTTGATTTTCCGAGACATTCACCCGGGGAACTCCATTGCAGCTCAACTTGAGCGTGGAAATCGAAGGAGTTGAGAATTCTCTGGAAATCATCGTAACAATTGGGTCAAAAGAAGATCGAGTTGATCAAGAATTCAAGAAAAAGATCAAACGTATTACTTTCAACATGTACTGTTTAGTAAACAAATTTGCACAAACTTTTCGATGAGCCCTTGACAGAGAACAGCCACCGCCTCGGTAAGAAGCTGCTCGTGGATGTGAAAAGTGAAATCGGCGCTGTTGACCTAGAGCTTTTGATTGATTGATTGATTGATTGATTGATTGATTGATTGTTTGATTGTTTGTTTGATTGATTGTTTGTTTGATTGATTGATTAATTTGATTAATCAAACAGCAAACAATCAAACGTTTGTTTTTCATTCAAATCTTCGTCTTATCATTAACCTTTTTGTCGAGAATCATCGTGAGTGGTGGGGTGACATTGGCGGAAACTCCCCAATGATATGTTCTCAATGATCCTTTCGTGCTCGAGATTTCATCATCGGATTGGCGTCTATCAAGCAGTTTTGGATCGAATTCGAGATCGTAGAGCATTCTGGCGTCTAGAAGCTTTCAGCTAGGTTTTGTCGTTGAAGCGAGATGAAATTGAAATGAAATTGAAGTTTTGTCTAGACAAATGAGTGGCACAAGTACCAGATGGATATACAATCAGGTTAAGCGGAAAGTTGATATCTTTTCATTTTCAAAACAAAACCCAACAAATCGGGCAGCTAAAAAAAGCTGAAAAACGTAGCTGCCCCATTTGTTCTTTTTCTTTGAAAATTAAAAGATATTCAATTGTCCGCCTGTAAACCTGAATTGCCGTAAATACTGTAATAGTACCCCACCCCCATAATGACGGTGCGGAGTGTTGCGTGGTCTAGCTTTGAACGAGTTTTTTCGACACTGGTTTATGCTACAATGCGCGCTTAGGTATCAAAAAATAGCCCTGAATTTCAGCTATTTTTCGATATCAAAGACGCATTTTTTGAAAGTACGGGCGCTTTGAAAAAAATGAAATACTAAAAAACTTTTGCGACTACGCGACTGTACGAGGGCGGCGGCGGGGTACTATTACAGTATTTACGATATGTGCTTTCAGTTCTTTGAAGTTACTTTTTTAAAAAGCTTAGCTTGATTTTGAATTCTTTTCAAACCATTTCCTTTTCTATTCTATTCTTTCTATTCTATTCAAATGTTTATCTTCTCCTCACC